AGCTTGAGGCTCTGTCTCAAAAAAAAAAAAAAACTGATAGGACACCTAGAAATATATATTCATATATATGTAAATATGTATAATATAAATATATGTCAATATATAATATATATATTTAATATAATATGTACATAATTATATTACAAATATAATACATATTTATAAATATGTTATGCTTATATAATTTAAATATTAAATATATTTATTTATTTATCATCATTATATATTACATATGTACCTACAAATAACTATTGCAAAAAGATGTATAGCCAGGCATTTGTTGTGGCAGGTGCCTATAGTCCCACTCCTTGGGAGGCTGAGGTAAGAGAATCACTGGAGCCCAAGAGTTTGGGGTTGCTGTGAGCAATGATGCCATGGCACCCTACTGAGGGTGACAAAGTGAGACTGTCTCAAAAAAAAAAAAAGAAAGAGAAAAGATGTACTGGCATACTGTACTTTTAAAAAAGATACACTGTTGAGTAGAATGTTTTATACAGTACATTTGGGGGAAAAATATGTATATATATGTATATATACACATATGTTGTTTGTTTGTATGTTTACATTTACATAGTATAAAGAAATCCAGAAGAGGGCAGTACCTGTGGCTCAAAAGGGTAGGGCGCTGGCCCCATATGCCGGAGGTGACGGGTTCAAACCCAGCCCCAGCCAAAAAAAAAAAAAAAGAAATCCAGAAGAATATATACTGGATGGTTAACAGAAATTATCTTTGGGGAGTAAGATTACATTTCCTATTTTACATCTATTCTGTATGATTTTGAATTTTTTTAATAACCATGTCTGAATTTTATAACTTAAAAAATGACCAAAAATAGTAATTTGTGATCATGAAAAAATCTTCAAACTATATAGAAAGATTTAAAGTGAAAGTAAAAGTCTACTGACTCATTCCCATCCTCAGAGATAGTTTCTCATACACCTTTCCAGAAATCTTCTGTGCATATACAATTACCTGTAGAGGTCAATCAGTTTGGGCATGTGTTACTTTTACAATACATACATATTTTAATCAGATGATTTGGAAACCCTCAAAATTATCAGATAGAAAAGCATAATCACTTACAAAGAGTTTTCTCCTCAAATTATTGTCAATTCTACATATGTGAAAAGCTTCAAGATTGGGCAGCACCTGTGGCTTAGTGAGTAGTGCGCCGGTCCCATATACTGAGGGTGGTGGGTTCAAACCTGGCCCCGGCCAAACTGCAACAACAAAAAATAGCCCGGCATCGTGGAAGGTGCCTGTAGTCTCAGCTACTCTGGAGGCTGAGGCAAGAGAATCACCTAAGCCGAAGAGCTGAAGGTTACTGTAAGGTGTGACACCCCGGCTCTCTACTGAGGGTGACAAAGTGAGACTGTGTCTCTAAATATAAAAAATAAGAAAAGCTTCAAGATCAGTAGAACTTCAGTAGAACTTAGTGAAGAAAAAGAGAAAAGAGGGCAGATTTACTGCTCACATTCGAAACATGGAATTTGCCAGACAGGGTCAGCACCTAATAATAAGGAAATATGCCCATCTATACCAGCTCCTGCCCAAGCAGATGCAGCAAATCTTAGGCTATTATAATTCATTAACAGCACTTTATCTCAACTTTGAAAACACTGACTCACATTTCATTCTTTTCTAGAGGTCGTACTCACTTCAGGATCCCTCTTTTACAAGTGGGAAATCAAGGCAGTGACAGCTTTGTGACTTCTTCCAAAGATCACGGCGAAGGTCAGAACTTGTACCAGGCTTGACTCTCATTATTATTTGTTCCATACCTTTCCCCCACATTCCCTGCACTGGCAGAAATGATTAAATCAGTGGTTCCTCAACTGATTCCTGGTCTTCCCCTTACTCTGGGTTTGATTAGGTCTGGGGAGGGAATGTAATTTTAAAAAGAAATTTACCACGTTTCTTTTTACCTATTTTTTGTTCTGTTCTGTTTTTTTTTTCTTTTTAATTATTATGGGTAAATAATCATTGTAGATCTTTATAGGGTACATGTGATGTTTTGATACAGGCATAGAATGTAAATTAATCAAATCACAGTAATTGGGATAGCTATCACCTTAAGCATTTAATATTTCTTTGTGTTAGGAACATTCCAACCCCACTCTTTTAGTTATTTTAAAGTATATGCAACTTACTGTTAATTATAGCCACTTTGGTGCGTCTCTCTTCTTGTTGGGGGAACAGTTTGCCCTCTGTCTTCCCCTCTCTCACAGATCCAAAAGGAGTTGCTGATTTTTCAGTTTGTTCTGACTTTTACTCGTTAGAACAGAATGGTGACTTCTGAGCTTCTTCTGTACAGTATCACAAATCAGAGTCTTCTAATTGGTATTTTTAATTAGAATTAGTAGAATTGGGATTGCATTCAATTTTTTCTATTTTAAAGTAATTAAAACCATTTCTCAATGCAGTGCAGTTTTCCAATTCAGGAAATCAGATCTAGTATTTTTTTCTGTTTATTTATGTACTAACACTTGTTTCTTTTTTTTTTTTTTTTTTTGAGA